GCCCTCTGTAACTGACTGGTGACACCTTTGCAGGCCACAGAACTGTTATTTCCCCCTTCCTCACTGCAGTAGCCTGGACTTGCCCACAGTCACATATGAAGCGGAGGCACCATTCAGCATTGATCCTGTATTTACTAACCTTAACCCTGTTTTGGGACTGAATCCCTCAAACAAGGTGATCAGTTTTGTTTATTCCATTATAAATTTCACTACATGCAAGGCTGGTGGGGCTTCCTCTTCCTTGTGCTTTATTTCCTTTAATCCCAAGAGATGCAGTTAGACAGTAGACAGGTAAACTGGGTTAAGTCCTGCCTTCTGATCTGCAGGCCAATGCTTTCACCTAGATCTACTCACGGCAGGACAGAGGAAGCAGTGCTCTTTGGGAAGAGAGTTACAAGCAACCTGAACATGCCTGGTGTTTTTACCCAGTTCTCTTTGTATCTGGCACCAAAACTGTTTCATTCAAAAAGCCTCACTCGGGTCCACGGGTATTTCCAGTTTCTGAGGCTGCTCGGTAAAACAAGCACTGGCCACTCGCCCAAACATTTTACTAGTTTGGGCTATTATGTCAAAACACTGGCAAAAAAAGATGACTAAAAAAAAAGAAATATAAACAGAAGCAGCCATTCAGTATAGGCTTTGCAGTCCACTGGGCACTCTAAAGGAGGAGAGAAGCAGTTCACCAATCCAGTGATTCACACTGGACTCTTACAAACAGCCTGACCAACCGTCCTTATTGCAACTCCATGGCCTGCAGTAGAGGGATGCTGAGCAAGTGGGGAAAGGAAAGAGATTATGTTTGTTCTCCTTATGCAAAGCAGGACTCAAATGACCTATTTTCCAACTAGGATTTTGAAGAGCACAGATCATTTCAGCACCTCCAGATTTGCTAAAAACTCTCCAGAGAAGGACAAGGCACATCCCAGACAGCATTTTCACAGAATCGTAGAATGGTTTGGGTTGGAAAGGACCTCAAGTTTATCTAGTTCCAACCCCCTGCAGTGGGAAGAGACACCACACATTAAACCATGTCACTTCATTTAAAATAGTCCTCTTTATTCTGCAACCATCACTGCCTGCCCATTTCCCAATACATTACAACCTCCGACAAGCAAGCTTTGGTTATTACAACCTTTTCGTTGAAACCTGAATCCTGTATTCAGAGACACTGCAGTGCAAGACAGAGATGGTACAAGGACTCTGCCCTGAGGATGGCCAAAATCCATGTGTGTACTCTACTCCAGGAAGAAATCCTGATAAAGGTATCGGGTATGATCATGTAACTCGCAAGTGTTTGATGGGCCTCATACAGCTCTCTACCTTCTATTCAAGCCCACTCACTGAGAACTCTCTTCTACCTCCCTATTTGCTGAATAAATAGGCTTTCAGGTTCCACAGTAGGGTGAATTAAAATTGTGATACTGACTCTCAAAAAATAAAAAGAAGAGGCAGAGGTGAGCCCAACACATTTACTAAAAACCACTCATACACACTTCATACCCAGTTTCAAAGTCATTCACTGTGGAACTATTTTTAACTGACAGAAACCCTCCTCATGGTTAACATAGCCTGGGCCAGCTCCTAGCCAAACACCCTGTGCAGCTCTCCCATGTGCAGAGCAGCATACGAAGTTCCCTGATGTTCAGTCCCCATATCCAAGTGGGACCTCAGTGGGAACACTGTGCTCCACGTAATGCACAGGATTTGTCCCTGAGCCTGAAGTGCTTTGGTTTCATGCGTGCAGACAACATGGCCACAGGTATAGCATAACAGCATCATATAAGCAAATACTGTTGTCTTTAAGTTATGTATTTCCAACTTTCAAAGGAAGATCTGGATGCTTCACAAACCATACAATTACACCCCTCCTTCTTCTGGTCCTTCTCAAGTCCCCCTTCCCTCACACACATGCATACATGCATGTGTCAGCCATTTGTTCCAATGGATTTAGCCTAGTTTGGATCAAAGCTTCCTCTACTTCATTTAACAGATTTGCTCAGATGGAAAGTCTCAGGGGAGAAATAATGTTAGTAAGAGGGGTTTTTTTAGCATTGAGTATGTAGGTCATTGGACTTTAAAATAAATTAGAGAATAGTTTATCTATTAAACAAGCCTCACAGTACATATTTCATGAAGCTATAGTTAATTATAGGCTAATGTGCACCACAGCTACTGCGAATAAAGATTGTTAAACAGTGTCCCATAATGCAGTGATTAATACAATTATTAGCTGGCTGGCATACAGCAGCTATTATTTGGTACCATCATGAAAAACAACAGACTGCAAGTTTCTAAGTCTGGCACTTCCTGTGAAATGCAACAAACCCAAACATTTCCAGAGAGAAATACATGCCTTTCGGCACCTCCCCAGGAGAGGATCCTCAGAGGCAGCAGGGAAAATGCAAGGAGGTGAGATTAGACTTGACCTTCCACTTGATGTGCCTTTTACAGAGTTTGCTTCTCCACCATGAGTGTAAGGGAACATCCCACATCTTCTACTGTGCAGTGCAAGGCTGACTGTCTGAGCAAATCCTAATACCTCAAACAGTCTCTGACAAGAGGGGAGCTTGATCTGAGTTAAAAGGACAGAGAAGATTAAATGTGTACCTACACTCTTTTACTACAGTTATGGCTTCTGTGAACATGATGCACTATAGGTAAGACCCACTGGTCTTCTATATTAAGGCCCTGTAGACTAATGAAACAGAGCTGTTGAGATGAGCAAACTTTTTATGGGTATTTGAGACTCACCTGCTCTGGAATCAGCGTCATGGACTTAGGATGGACATATTACTTATGATATAGAGCTAAGTAGTAGGTAATTTCTTTTCTTTTACATGAAATTACGTGCCTGATCTCTTGTAATGAGGCAATCAAATTCAGAGAAGATTTTTTTAAAGAAAAGCTAGAGAAGTTAGTGCACCCCAAGATAAATGTCAGCAGGAGAGGGGGAATGACAAAACCAGTCATATTAGCACCCTGAATTACAGACATCATTTTACCCTGAACTTGAACGTAAACTAGGCAGAAAACAAAGCATCTCATCCCATTCCCAGGTGCAGCCCTGCCCAGGAAAGGTGCTTGGCACTTTCTCAAAGTACATTACTTTGGCATGTCCACTCCATGCTGCCCACATCTGTGCTCCAGTGAGTGAGCCCAGCCTGAATGGTTTCCTAAATTATATAGGGTATTTGAAAATGCTGTCAGGTATGACTGGCCCACAGTGACACAGGAGCCCCTGGAGCTGGGAAGAAACCATATTTCACCCAAAGATCTATTTAGTGTCCTAGATATATGCCAGAATATTGCAGGAGGCATAAAAAGACAAAAACCCCACCATCACCCTCAAACCATACTGCAGCTGATGTAGTCCAAGTTTCTGATTATCTATCGAGAGTGTGGCACAATCTCTACCACAGCTGCTACCAAACACCATAAGCAGATGCTATGCTGTGCCACTGCTAGGCAGAGGCCAGAGTGGTCTCTCTCACATGCTTGCCTTTTCCCTGCTGTCCTGGAAAGTCATACAATGCTTGGTCAGCAATATGCAAGTCTTGGGGCTTTCTAGACACTTGGGGCTTTTCTAGAGTCAAAACCTTGCCTCATTTTAAACACTACAGCAGAACTGTTGATTTATCACACAAGTTGTATGACTGCCTCTTTGTTGGGCAATGAGCTTTTAGTTTAATGGTGGACTTGCCATTACCATTCCAGCTCCCACAGTCTGGCCGAAGCAGTTCAGTGACAGTAGCAAAATCCTCACCAGCAACAACGCTGGTGACCTCTTGCTCAAGTTCAGAGTATGTCATTTTGTCAATAACATCTACCTTGATTATACCAGGCTTTACATGCAACGGGTTATGATCCCAGAGGGATGAAAAGCTTTTCCAAATTAAAAGCAGCATTTTAAAGAGGAAATACTCATACATTCCTATGTAGTTTTCATTTGATATCCTCAAGGCTAACCCCAGAACTCAAAGTCACATTGATTGGAAGGGAATGTTTTTTCTGAGCGCAGCCATCTTATGAATTTAATGGAAGAAGGGAAGTAATAAAAATGTGCTCCATACTTTAATTAGTTCCCTCATAACATGGCATTTCCAAAATGGCAGTGCCAAAGAAAATCATTAATCCAGGAGAACAGAAAGGTGCTGTATGGGCCAAGGGATAAACCTCCAGGACACACACATGCACCCTTTTCTTCTCTTGCAGGTAAAGCTTACCTCAAAAACCAACTACAGTCCGTCCCCCCCCCCAAGAATTTATTGGTATTAACATTAAGTATTAAGCCACTTTACATTTCTTGAGCCTTACTACAGAGTATCAAAACAGACAGATCATGCTTTGTACATCTTGGATTGAAGCAGGATAAATATAAATGGTCTTTCTGAACAGACACTGACCCTGTGTACTCCAGGTGTTAGGCTTAAGCTGACCCTACCATGCAATCACTTCAATATCTGCATTTCACTAGGCAAGTGAGAAACCCCATGTCAGATGTATGGAAGCAAGTATGATCTGCTGCAAAGGGCAGACATCTTTCCCAGCAGTCAATCTTTAGGCCTATGCACACTCGTGTTACACATTTCTTGTGGCAGTAGCCTCCAGCAGTAGTTGTGGCACTAGGTACAACAGGAAGGAACTGAGGAAGTGATAGAAGCATAAAGACACTTCTGACTCTCATTGTTTCGTGTTATCTCTTCCTGGCCATCAGGCAGGGGCAGATGTGCAAGTTTATAATCACAGAGAGGAACTCAGGGAAGAACCCACGTTAGCAGAATGGTTGCTAGAGAACAAAGCTCAGGTAACAGCACAGAAAACAGCTGTTCCAGGAAGAAAGAGCCATGTTCAAACCCAACAGAGACTGAGGGAAGAAACGAAGCACAGTTGACCTGTTTGTATGCACACCTCCTGCCTTGGTCTGCAACAACCACACAGCCCCACAAGAGACACAACTTTGCCCCCTCAGCCCTTCTTGATTATAGAATAGAAATTGATACCTGTGTGCGGTTGAATGCTACTCTTGCAAAGACAGCTTGAGACACACTGGCTCTCTTCAGCTCATCTCTGACTTGCTGGTATATATCTGGAGAGACTTCCACCGATGAATTTGATGGCTCTGGTTTGACAGCTCTAGGGATGGGTGGATGATTCAAGAACTGCTGGTTGATAGCCTGTGGATGCTGGTGAGCCAATAGCCGGCTGACAGCAATCTGCTGGTTTATCAGATGGGCCATTGCTATCTGCTGCCTCACCAGTTGTGGACTGAGCTGAGGAGACAGGAGCCCAGGGTTTATCATTGTCTGCATCGTTGGCACTTGGTTTCTGATTGGAGTACTGTGGTGAATTTGGCCATGAGGAGACTGTTCGTTAGTTTTTCCCAAGGTTGCCAGCTGGTTGATATTTGGTAAGTGCATGGGACGTTGACCAAGAACACAATAGTCTGAAAGGTTTTCTCTTTCCACTCTTTCCACTGTTAAAAGAGAAAAATTCGTTTGCCGTCATTCCAGTTTGCACTTACAAGAGGACTGTTAGGGTAAGGGTTACTGCAGGTGACTCTACGCAACAGCACCTGCTTCAGTTTGCAAAATCTATACTTGTGTAAAAGCTTCACTGAAACATAAGCAAAAGCAGCACAAAGTAAAAGCAACAACAACAATTAACATTCATTTGGACTTCTCAGGCACCACTTATCAAACCTCCTTATCAAACCAGCAGCAGGTATCTTCTCAAACCTCATTTCCGAAAGAAACAAGCTTGGACATTTCCACTTACAATGGCACAAACTTTTGAGTATGTCACAGCAAGTTCAGTAATACTTTTAAGGAGTCAATGTTGCAGAGTCACTGCCATGTAGGTGAAGGAAAGAAACCCAAATTAGTATCCACTCACATAAAACCATGTGGAAACCAGACCATTCCCTGTGCTGCTTCATGGAACTTCCATGGAACTGCTTCTCATTACAAACTCAACAACTATTATAACTTAAACTCTACCTTGCATTTGGATAAAGTTATCTGGTAACATCAATTCACTCGGGAGCAATAGAGCAGAATCATGTTGCTTGTGTGAAAGCATGCTACAAAACCATGCAATTCACACATGAGAAAACTGTAAAGCAATAGTTCGTATACCCAAAGCCTCATCACTATGAGTCTGTTCAGAAGCCTTAAACAATCTCTGCATGAATGCCCACTGTAAAGAAAGTGACTTCACTCTCCTCAAAAACCTTTGTTTAGCACAACAAAGACCCATGATCCCTAAGTCACACCATGCTACAGAAAAGGAAACACTGCACACAAAATGCATATACTGTAATTTTATATCCTGATATTGTCCCTTTTCAATCTCTTATGTCAGCAAAATCACAGTACCTTTTCATGCAACTGAAAAACTGAATGTACATATTACAAAACTAAATTTCCTCTAAAAGTAGTATTTAAAATACAAAATAAAGTTTAAAAAGTACATAAATAAAAGTGCTACTTTGATAATTTTAAGTAATCAGAAGTCATTTTACAGTAGGTTGTAGATTCCATGAGCCTCACTACATGCAATTAGATAGGCATTTATATAATGGTCTGATATAAAAGTGTTCAGGGACACATACCATACAACTAGAAGACTGCTACCTCATATCCTTGTATTGCTCTCAGCAAATAACAAGATAGGATTTATTTCATAAATGCTGTAATACTATTGTAACTTGTGTAATGATTAACAACTGTACAAGGCTTTGGACTCTTTTTTAAAACTTAACCTATGTAACGCTTTGAAGCTTTCCACAGCTCATACTCAGGATGACAGTTCACTGATGACTTTCTCTGTTTCCTTCTAAATAGAAGGACAGCTCTTCTCACCTTCCAGGGTTAATCTCAGAGAGGGCTGAATTCTCACTGAGGAGGGAGTGCTGCCCTGAACACACACAAACTCACACAATTCCTATCTTCAGAGCTGCCATTCTACAGCATCACAAGTACTGAATTTTACAGCCACGTGAATGAGTACCCAGACTTATCTTGTCAGAAATTTTCACTCACTCTTTCCATTCTTTTAGAGGAAATACCCGCATCATCTTTAACCTTCTACAAAATAATTGCTTTCCAAAATTTTCAAAATAAAAAGCTATAGATTTCTGAGAAAATTATTAATTCAATTTTTCACAAAAGTCTGTTTCAACCCAACTGATTTTCTAAGTGCTTGTTTGTACAGCATATTTCAACTACAAAATGCAGTGCAATATGTGTAATACACAACCACTATACACAAAGGTTACCAGAGACATAATGCAGTACTTCAGTTTGCTGAAAGTACTGAAAACTTCTATTCCAAGGCCTCCCTGAAAATCAGATACAGAAAGCTATCTACCACTAGGAACAGCCATTAAATCACTGTGAAATGTGACATATGAGCAGTGTTGATATCAGGGATGAACACAGAGTTGATAGAGAGATGGCATGTGTGGGCAGGGCAGTAGGGGAGAGAAGCTTCTTTGGCCACAGCCCCAAACCACATCCTGCAACATGGACAATTCAGAGCCCATGTGGCTATCCTATTTTCTCTGCAGCCCCCTGCAGTAAGCCTGAACCTTAAGTAATGCCATTGAACACACACAACTGCCAGTAAAACTGAATGCAGTTAATCCAAAGGTGCAGTAGCTACTTGGCAATCAGGAATTAACCTAGTGTAAACAGAGTAAAGATGTTGCTCAGTGTACATGAAATGCTTAGAGCACCCTGCTACGAGAAAATACAATCAGAACTACTTCCAGTCTTCATTTACACCCTGAGAAATCTAGAGTCCTTTCACCAGGAGTTTCAGAAGAGCTGAACTGAGCCCTGAACTATTTTGCAGTTCAAGAAACATACGCAGAGTAAGTCACTAAACCCAACAAATTACTACTTGTTAGAACACAAGTAAAAAAAAAAAAGCAGAAACAGTAACCAAGTGTTTTTGAAAACTTGGTGAGAAATAAATATAAATAACATTCACTTTCTGGGCTGAACCACATTTGCCAAGTTTCCACCCACTCCTGACATTAGTGCCAAGTTATAAACCCCTATAAAAATAAAGTTTAAGATGAAAAGGCTGCCAGGCTGTTAATCTCTGCAGTGCTACTTGGAATTACAATTACACAGAGCCATCACCTGACTTGCTTCCATAGGTGTATTTTTCCCTTATTATCAGTTTCCTTTTCCGATCATATTAGGCTATACAGCCATGTATATACTCCCAATAAAAGTACCAGATTCTAGTCACTTCAACCACTTCAATAATAAAAGGTTACCATTAACAGTTACGCTGGATGGAAAAAATGTGCATTACTCAACTCCTCAAGACTGTTTCCTTCTCTAACACATTGCTCGTATCAGATTCCCTGTTGTTCTTTGGTAACTACGGATTGGTAAAACTCTGTGGGGCCAGACAGAAGCAAGCCTGAGACAACTCCAAGATGGAGACTGCCACTGCCCTGGGAGACAGGCCAGCTTGCTGGCAATGCTCTAAGAAAAAAGGAACACAGGAGACACAAAGCTGCTGTGACACCTATGTTCTGCCCCAGATCATCCCGAAAAAGGATTTTCCATTTGCATCCTCCATTTTTCATGTTCCTCCCCATTATCCTTCCCTTATTTGCTATTGCTCCACTCAGACTGGGGATACATATACAGCTCTTGTCGTCCTGTATGAACCAGTTGGCACTTGAATATACTGGAATACAAAGCAGTGAAGACAGAAAGAAGGGGAAAAACTGGGAAAGAAGGGGCTCCATGGACATGTGCTGTCTACATTCAAGTACTGCTGATACATGTCCTCTGCTAGAGCTGCCTGTGCTAGCTGAACAAAAGCTGGTTCACAAGGCTGTTGCCACCTCCATCTGTGGCGTGACCACAGCAAAAGACATGGCAGCAGTTCCCTTTTCTCGCTGTGTCATGCTGCCTGGTATGTGATTCTGCAGCTCTTCGCTGGAAGAGCTCTTTTAAACCAAGTACAACTGTCATTTCAGAGCCACCCACCCCTCTGAAGCCATATACTAGGCCCACACATAAGGTGTCTGGACAACAGGTACTGTGCTAAGCTCAGGAAGCACCTCTCGGAGCATGCCAGAATAGCCTCTGCCCTTTGTTGTCCTACACCCCCCTCTACAACATGCCACTATCTCTACAAGACAGTCACAAAACAACATAATCCCCAGAATGGGAGCAGAAAATCATCAAATTTCAATGTTCCTTTCTCTTCCCATAATGATTACCACGTGCGTCGATGTATTTCAACTCCTTACTGAGTTTGAAATTTCCTGGATACAGCACAAAAGGAATGCAGTGCACCCTTCCCCTGTATGATGCTCTTAACCTCTACCCTAATATTCCTTGCACAGTCAAGCAGCTGACACAGTCTGCAGCACAATAGCTTAGGGTGGTCCACATGCAACTTTCCATTTGAAATAAAACCAGCTCAGAAGATTTAAAATAAGATTTATTTCTCCACCTTCCCTTCCCCTCACCCTTTATTTTCACCAAGTTGTTAATAAGAACATTCTGACAAACAGCCTGTGGGGCATTTAGGGCTTATGAGTGGCACTAAATTGACTGACAGCAGTAGAAACCAAATTCCTATGCACAATAATAGATGCATGAGGGAGAGCAAGAGCATTTTAACATCTCCCAGCACTGCACTGCAGTAGAGACAGAGAGATCCTGCTAGCACCCATGATCCAGCAAGTCCTGAACTTTTCAGTCCCACAGGCAAAGGGGCACTTTGCCTCAGAGAAGGAAGAGGCTGGTAATGTTTTGTAATAAGTTACTAGCTGGCAGAATTGCCATGCTTCAATTGTGACAGGATGTCACCACCCAGGGCTGTTCTCTAGTGCTTCACAGTTTGCTTCTTTGTTTTATTTATTATTTAAAACCTGGTGAACATAAAAGCCATTACCAGTGGTGGTCACGGCCAAGCGGGGAGAACTCTGTGAACTCTGGTATGCCCTGTGCTAAGCTTGAGATACAAAGGTTCCCACAATTTCGCCTGGCTTAGCACCATCCTACTCACTGGAGCAAGACCTGAACTTTGGAGCAGTGCTTGGGAGACAAAAGCGCTCTCCAGCACAGTACCACCCTCTGCCTCTGAGAGACAGGGCTGCTGCACAACACCGAGAGCGTGCCCTCTTGCTTATGCTACATAGTTATGAACTACCACTTTGTAAATAACAGAACCACTCCAGAGCACAGGAGATGCTTTCAAAGGGGTAATTCTGTATCTTTTCATCTATAATTAGGATAATTACTTATTTCTTTTAATCACAGCCCATTTAACCACTTCAGTGCAAAGGGCTGGTCTGAGAAGTCTCATTTTCATTCAACATCTAATCTTCGTATTTACTCAAAGTTGTTCCCTAACTTCATTCACTGCCTGATCTCTCCCTGGGCAATTTGTCCCTGCAGCCAGGACTGGAGAAAAAGCAGGCAGACTGAAGTGGCT